AAGGGTACGTGTGTGATGTGAACGGAGAGTAGAAGCTCTGTTCGATGAGATTGATGATCAATGGGGTACGTCCTACGTACATGAGTGCTATATTTGTATTTCCCCTCCTAAAATTCTATTCGCTGACGATAATGATGGTGATTGGTGGAGTATAGGAGCGTACAAGAATACTATATTAGTATTTCCCCATACTTTTTATTTTGAAGGGCTTTGGAGTCATCATTTCTTTTATGAAGTATCGGATGAGCTTCGTGTGTCAGCATTTCCTTTCACGAAGTAATATAGGGAACTTCGTAGACTGCTAAATAGATTGTGTCAGTAATAGACCACTACTAGGTAAGTATGATGTTGTTGTGCCGGATAGGGTGAGTCTGGGGGTATAATACCCCATGGTGTCCGACCACTGCTAGACACAATTATCTAGATAACTACCCCTGACATAACTTTCTTGTGGTTTTTATGAACGGAGGTTCATGGTAAAACTTATTCTATTCTCCTCATTTGATGTCTTTATTGATCCTCGTTTGCTGCCAGGGAATGTCCGAAGCAGCGTCGTTAGTTTTTTGTTCATATTGATCCTTTAGGCTAGATCTAATAAGATCATTGTATGTGATCAGTACGTGGGGATCGACGGGATGGGATAGATTGTTTTAGAGATATGATATATCTGTGTTAATGATAATAGTGGTTTTACAGGTTTGAGATATACATTATTATCACATTATGGGATTGAAAACTCTATGTATCTCACTAGGTTTCCCAACCTGACCCACTCAATTTATATGCATCACAGGTAGCAGTGTAAGACTACTAAAGACTCGAGTATGATGCTGAGAGAAGACCTGCAATAAAGTTCAGGACCACTAGGTCTTTACGTTGTAACATATGTTGTATATCAGTTATGACATCCCTAGAGTTGTATTATTTTGAGACAATATTTTGTACTCAAATTGTTTAATATACTGGGAATTTCTGCAATAAAAGATATTATGATTTTTAAAGTGTAAAGAAATTTTTTTACAGTTCTGAAAATTGGGGATGTCACATGTGTGTCACAAGGATCCTAATTTAAGTAGTACATAATTTTACAAAGCCTGCATATATGTTTTCAAAATTACGGGTGAACATACCCAGGAGGTTTCTTTACATAAACCTCATATGTCAATTCAACATGAACTAAAGCATTTATAACATCAACGTAATAGATGATCCATTTATGAGATATGAAAATGCTTAGAATGACACGAATCATGGAGGGTTTCACAACTATATTGATTGTATCATCAATATATAGGTCCAGAGATAAAACATTACCAACTGATCGACCTTTATAATTATCTAGTTTTTCCATGACTTTACATTTGCAATGGTAAGAAAAAGGACATCCAATACTTTTGTCATGATGGAGATGTTAAACAAAATCCCATGTGTGATTGGGGAGAAGATCAAACATTCTAGAGTCCATGGTTGCTTTTTAATTAGGACCATAAAAAGCATGGGTAGTGGAATCATGTATATGTGTTAGATAATGATGCATATTTTGGATGTAACAAATAAATATGAACAATATAATTAATAAAACATTAAGAATCATAACTTACCCTTGGATCAATGTTTATCATAAATTACTACAACTCGTAAATTACTACAACATTATTAATTACCTTTAATGAAGATGAAGAACAACTAAAAGATCCAAAGTAGAGTCTCTCTATTAGATCGCACACCAAAGTTGCAATCTGAAATCAAGCAAGAAAAAAAATGATATTTTTGTTGATGAAGAAGCAATATAGAAATACCCCTTCTTGGGTGTGTATTTACGTCTCCAATGAGAGGATATGAGAGAGAAGAAATCTTGATTAGGGTTAGCCAACCCCAAGGGTTTCATGTCATATATTTTGCATAAAACTTAGGGATTATTTTTCTCTCCAAGTTTGCTTAATTATTTTAATAATTCCATAATTCAAACTTTAAACCTTATTACACATAATGTCCTCTTTTAGTTTCTATTTAATTCATCAAGTATTGATAAAAAAAACTACTCCCTTTAATTATTGAAGGCGGTGGTTAGACGAATGCCTTGATCGAAGGATGAAAGAGGCGGTCGGACAAAGGAGACAATATAAGGCGTAAGGAATTGATGCATCATAGGAGAAATCTCTAATTAGGAGGGGGCTGAGATCAGATCAGAATGTCAGGAAGAGTGAAGGAAAGAAAAGTCGATTGTTAGAGGGGAAAGGCAATGGCATGAATGGATGGGGGACGTTTTTCAGACATAAGGGTCGTCACTTTTCTTTAACCACGAGAAAAGTATGATGATAAGAGAGATAACTAGGAAAAAGTAAGGTTATAGATTAGCTTAATGGTATTTTTTATTTTAAATTAAAAATAGAAAATAAAAACTAATTAAAAATCTAAATAGAGGTAAAATAGTAATTTTAGAATAAAATTGTAACAAAATAAAACAATATGGACCAACAACACAAGAAATTAAAACTATAAGGACCATATGTAATAATGAAAAAAATATAAAAAAGAAAGTTACAAATCTAAAAACCACAAGGACCATTTATGTAAATTTGTCATTAATAAATGACAAAATTACAAAAATGGTCCCTGTGGTTTGCCAAAAGTCACAAAGTCAGTCCCTGCTAGTTTTTTTTTTTGATGTAAATGGTCCTTGTGGTTTGCAAAACTTGCAAAGATGGCCCTTTTTTTTATGTAAATGGTCCTTGTGGTTTGCAAAACTTGCAAAGATGGCCCTTTTTACTAACGTCGTTAGTATTCAGCCGTTAGGGACTAAATCTGTAAGGGTATTTTCGTATTTTCAAATATAAAGGGACTGAATTCGTGACATTTGATAAACCATAGGGACCATTTTTGTAATTTTTCTTAAAATAATATAAATGATAGAAAATGAAGGGTACTAGATTCGAACTTTGGACCTCCTACCTTTCTCCCTTAATCAACCAAAGCCTTAACCACCTACGCTAGAGCCACACTTGATTTATATTTTCGAAAACTAACTAATATTATCTACAAATTGTAAATAAATTAATAATAAAATATTAAAAAAACATATTTTTACAAAAAAAAATTAAAAAAAAAATATATTATTTAGCGTATTGTAAAAAAAATACAAACAATTATTTGTTTTTTTACGTATTTGTTTTACGTATTTAAAAAAATAAGTTTCCGTATACTTTTAAATACATAAAAAAAACGTAATAACATATTATACAAAAACGTAATCCTAAAAAACATAAAAAAAGTTTTTTTGTATAATTTATTTTATGTGAAGTATGTTTTTTATATTTTTTTATGTATTTATTTTATGTAAATATGTTTTTTTATGTAATTAAAAAAATACGTTTTTTATATAATATGTTATTACGTTGTACTGGAATACAAAATCAGTCAAATAAGTTTTTGTATTGGCCCAATCGGTTTTTCTAAAACCGTTTTTCGGTTTAAAAAATACATATTAAAAAAAAGTTTTTTATACTTTTAAACCGAAAAGTTTTTTATGTATTTTTTAAACCGAAAAACGGTTTTTTTAAACCGATTAGGCCAATATAAAAACTTATTTGACCGATTTTGTATTCCAATACAACGTAATAACATATTATATAAAAACGTATTTTTTTAATTACATAAAAAAACATATTTACATAAAATAAATACAAAAAAAATATAAAAAACATACTTCACATAAAATAAATATATACAAATTTTTTTTTAATGTTTTTTAGGATTACGTTTTTGTATAATATGTTATTACGTTTTTTTTTTATGTATTTAAAAGTATACGAAAACTTATTTTTTTAAATACGTAAAACAAATACGTAAAAAAACAATTAACTGTTCGTATTTTTTTTACAATACGTTAAAAATATATTTTGTTTTATTAATTTTTTTTTTGTAAAAATATGGTTTTTTTAATATTTTATTATTAATTTATTTACAATATATAGATAATATTAGTTAGTTTTCAAAAATATAAATCAAGTGTGGCTCTAGCCTAGTTGGTTAAAGCTTTGGTTGATTAAGGAAGAAAGATACGAGGTCCAAAGTTCGAATCTAGTACCCTTCATTGTCTATCATTTATATTATTTTAAGACAAATTACAAAAATGGTCCCTATGGTTTATCAAATGTCACGAATTCAGTCCCTTTATATTTGAAAATACGAAAATACCCTTACAGATTCAGTCCCTAACGGCTGAATAAAAGGACCATCTTTGCAAGTTTTGCAAACCCCAAGGACCATTTACATCAAAAAAAATTTGCATGGACTGACTTTATGACTTTTGGCAAACTACAGGGACCATTTTTGTAATTTTGTCTTAATAAATTTAAGATGATCCGACACAACAACCCCATCCCCCTCTCTCTCTCTCTCTCTCTCTCAGTCTCACCGTCTCACCGTCTCAATCTCGATGACTTCGTTCACCTTTCTCGGTTGCTGTCTCGTCCCGCCTCCGATCTCTCGTTAGGTACAAAATCATCAAAAATCACTACATTTTTTAGTTGATTGTTCTTACATATCAATAGTAAATTTTGTTAGATTTCGATAATTGAGATTTTCTAGTTGCTAATTATTAATAGTTAAGGGGTTGATACCTCGTAATTGTTAGTGGTAAAGCTTTCTTTAGTAGTAATTCGTGTTAAATTTCAATTATCAATGTCATGCAACCGTATGTTTTGTTAGGATTACGGTGTACCGACATTGTTAAGGTTTTGTTAATTAGTTAACTGCGATTTTGTTAGAATTGATTAAAAGGATCTACCGATCTACACTGTTAGTGTTTGTTCATAGTTAATTCCTAATTATTAAAGAGAAATGAGTGATTCGTACCCAACCATTTTTTTCCATACACTATATGATTGTACAATGTAACCCTTGTATGAATTATAAAATTTATCTTTTAGTTAATTTTTATTTTGTTTATATTATGTTAGTTATATTGTGATCTGGTTGAATATTGGTTTGGATCTGCAATGTCATCATCAAAATCAAGAAAATCATTGGATCCATCAATGGAAGACTTACCTGCACATGTGATGGTCGATATTCTGTCAAGGCTTCCTGTGAAGACAATCATCAACTGCAAGTTTGTATGCAAGAAGTGGTTGGATCTCATTTCTGAATCTTACTTTGTTGATCTTCAGCTCTCGAGATCACCCTCAGGAGTGATGATTTATCATAATTCCAATGAAGTTTTTCGTAATGCAGAAGAAGAAGAGAAGACAGGTTACCTAAGAACAGGCATTTTAAGGTGGGTGGAGGTTGAAGACGAACTCAATCACCACAATTTACATCATGACCCAGTCATGAGCCTTGACCTTAATCTTGCACCCATTTTCCAAAAGTCTCAAATAATCCCAGTGGGCTCAGTCAATGGTTTGCTCTGTCTTTGGCAATTTGGTCCTCAACATGACAACACTTACATATGCAATCCAATCACTAGAGAATATATGATCCTCCCAAAGCCACAATACTATTTACAACAAAATGCAAATGTCGTTTATTGTTTCGGTGTTGCACCACTTACAAATGAATACAAAGTGATACGGATTTTCCAAGGGGAAAAACGTCCGTTTTTTTCCCCAAATTCTCGGCCAATCATATCACAAGCTGAGGTCTACACCCTTGGCACAGGTCAATGGAGAAGTCTTGGTCATGTCCCTTATTGGCTTAAAGGAATGTATGGACCATTTTTAAATGGTCATGCTCATTGGACTGTTCTTGACAAAGATTCCCCTGAAAAGCTTTGTGCTTTTGATTTTGACAAGGAGACATTTGAGTTGTTCCCATCTCCTCCGTGTGAAGCTAGAGATGAAAATCTCATCTTTAAAAGTTTGGGAGTCTTGAAAGGTTGTTTATGTCGATGTGAAAGTTATGATTCTCAATTGGTAGTTTGGGTGATGAAGGAATATGGGGTCAAGAAATCTTGGCATAAGGAGTTTGTAGTCATGGAAAGTGAGAACACTGATCTTGATTTGCTGACTTTGGAAACTGTGGATTTAATTGCGGGTTTTAAAGATGGAACTGTTTTGATGGCATCTTATCGAGACACACTTCTCGTTTATTGTCCTCGAAGGGAAATTATTCTCGACACCGAAATGTTTTATCGATACTTCAAAGGATATACTTATTGTCCGAGCTTTCATAGACTTCATAACTTTGAAAATGAGAGAGTTCATGTGTTCTAAAAAGGTCAACAGAAGTTATATAATGAATATGCATTGTTATTTTGGAGTCGAATATTGTCTAGCAAGTTTTATTTAGTGTAGAGAGTTTGTGTGTTCTAAAGGTCAAGAGAAGTTCTATAATGAATAATTGAATATGCATTGTCATTTTGAGTCGAATATTGTCTAGCAAGTTTTATTTAGTGTATTTCTTGTGTGTTTGCAAAAGTGATCTAAATCTTGAAGTTACTTCAAAAGTTTTATTTAGTGTATGTCTTGTGCGAGGGAATGCTTCTATGCAAAGGAATTGATGAGTGTGCTAGATAATATTTTTCCACCTCGGACCATCATCAATACACAAACAATTAAGATGAAAACGATTTAATATGGCAAATACTAATTTCCATAACGGACTCTACACCAGCGATATTTTGATATATTTGCTTTTGTACCTGACAAAATGCTCATTATCATTATTATAATTGTTGTATTATTTTCTTTTTTTGGTCCTTATAGTTTTGCCTTTGTAATTAGCCCAGTGTTTTGATGGTAATCCTGTAATCTTATCCCTAATTACTTCGTCTCTTTCCTTCTTTCTCCCCTCTTCTTGGCCAAACCTTAGCCTACCACTGCCTGTTATCTCTTTGCTGCTCTATATTTTCATCATGGCAGGAACCGCAACCACGCAAAAACGTACGGAATTATGAACATCAAAGTGTATATTCTTCTTATCCTTAATTTGGAACCCGTTAATTACGATGCATGGTGTGAATTTTCGAGATCCACTGCAATGGATTCGGAGTTTATGGGCGAACAACAAAGTAGTGTCCATATAGATAACTGAATGGAACCACATGATTGATTTTAGGGTTATTGTCATTGTAACCCAACCATCTTTAGTATAATGGTTTAAATGGTCCCTAGTGTTTTTTGTTTTTGTTTTTTTTTTGTTTTTTTGTTTTTTTTTTGTTTTTTGCCTTTAAAGAGTACGAACTTGTGTTTTTAGGTTTTAAAAGATCATTATGGAAAATTTGAAGAGGTCACCCGTGACCCTCATCCTAATCATCAGTTTCCCTCAACCCGCATTGACTTTCAAAAGTCAAAGGTCTTTGCCTATTCCCTCATATACACCGTCACAACTTTGTCTTCGCATCTTTTCCTATTGGTTTTGCTTGTGAAGTTTTGTACAAAGAGAGATAGGCTCATAAATAGTTTCAGCTTGTTTCTTTCAGATGGGTTCAGTTAATAGATCAACTGTGACCCCAAGAAAGAGTAGATTGGCTCGTACCTTTGCCAAGGTTTTTCATATTCGACATCAACCTGCAACGACGATTGATCAATTTTAAAAAGTAAACTTGCACGAGAAACCAATTGGAAAGTTCTTCAACGAGGAAGATGAGAAATTTCAGGAAAATGCAGCCATGGATGCTTTCATCGCCAAAGTTTTTGCCACCATATCGTCCGTGAAAGCGACATATGCCCAAGATGCTCAATCTCCCCACGACGCTGATGGAATTCAATCGGCTGATCAGATCGTGGTCACGGAGTTGAAGAGGTTATCGAAATTTAAACAATCGTAATTGCAAAACCATATCGACGGCGCCTCCCCGGAAACCACAATCCTGTTGGCTGAGATCCAAGAGCAGAAGAACCTACCAAAAACATACGAGATAACACGAAAGAAGCTAGAAAACCAGAGTCGACTCAAGGATTCCGAGATTGTGTTTTTAAAGGAGAAATTGAAGGAAGCCGAAAGGGAGCACAAATTGTCGAGAGGTGATTGAATTCGAGTGGCCCTTTATCGCGTCACGAAAACCTTCATTTCTCAAAATTGACTCCAACCGATTTCGTATTAGCTCTCAAGCACACTATGAAAGCGATTCAAAGTCTGGTGAAGTTCATGATTACTGAAATGGAATATACGAATTGGGATCTGGATGCAACGGTTGAATCAATCCAACCATAGGTTGTTTACCGGAGCACAATGGGTTGTTGTTCCGGGGATTTTGATTACAACTTCCTCTGAAGATTGATTGTTGTTCTTGTTCATGGCTTTGATCGTTGTCCGGGAATAGTTTCTCAGTGAGATCTTTGGTCTTGAGTGATGAGTACATGGATAGAGCTAAAGGATTTGATGATGAAAATGAGGAATATGAATATGGGTTTGATTGATCAACTTGTGGGTATATCTGGGTTTTAGAGGAGTGTGACACCATGTTTGATTGTAGTTGTTGCAGGTTTTTAAGATTTTAGAGATATTGTTGACTCACCTGTTTACTTGGCACTTGACAAAGCAGTGTTACCTTTTAATCTGGGTAAAAGTACCAAAATGACAGGTAAAATACAAATTGATACCCTTTAAAGGCAAAAAAACCATGATGGACCATTTAAACTATTATACTAAAAATTGTTGGGCTATAATGACCGGTAAAATACAAATTGATACCCTTTAAAGGCAAAAAAACCATGATGGACCATTTAAACTATTATACTAAAAATTGTTGGGCTATAATGACAATAGCCATTGACCGTCAAGATGTATGATTTACGACACAATATCAAAACATGTTCTAACGATGATATTCAAGAAGAATATTACTCATATCAAGTGCAAGTGCAGAGGAATATGGAGACACTATTCCTCAATAATAAAGACGTAAAGCCGTCCAATTTGACAATGAATTACAGAACATCATCCTTGGTGATATATTTCAAATCCCGTCAATCAAGATGCCCTACCCTTTTTATATGAATGTTTGTTTTTGAGAAATTAAATTGCCTCATACATTTTATGCATACAAATATTCCTACTCATTAAAATTATGACAAGTGTCAACATTCTATATTTTTTAAACTATCTCATTAAGAGTATATTAGGAATATATCAAATAAAATTAAACTGAATGGTGGAATGATGACAGTTGTCATAATTTTAACGGGTAAGAAATATTTATAGGCATAAAAGGTAGGAGACAATTTAATTTCTATTTTTAAGAATACATACAATTTTTTGGGTTAATAACTTAAAGAGTAATATACTTTGTTTCGTGTTCATATTTAAGAATACATACAATTTTTTTGTTATATATTTATATCAAATTAAATTAATACAATAACAAGATTAAGATATAAAATAGGATTTTAAAAACAAAATGTATAACATCAATTTATATATTGATAAAAAATGAAAATATAAGTTTGTTAAATATACGTGATTTCATATCGTGTTATCTTCTTGGAGCGGTTTACACCATAAAAAAAGAAACACATTTATAAAGTAGTCTAAAAAAAACTTTTTCTATAGAAAAAAAAAAGTTAACAACTTAGAATGGTAATATACGCTTGTTTCGTGTTCACATTTAGTCAACAATGTTTTTTTTATACATTTGAGAACAAATTATTGAAATCGTCATTGTGGTTTGTCAAAATTGTGTGTTTGGTCCATAAGGTTGATTTTGCAATCACACGGTCCTTATAGTATGAATTTATTGTGTTTTTCGTCCGTAACCGACATAAAATGACCAAAATACATTTAATGATTATTTTATTTGTTTTCTTTGTTATTAACTTATTAAAAAGAAATGCTCACAAAAGAAATGCTTTAATACTAGTACTACACGACAACCACAATCATCGATTACTAGTGACCATCACTCTCACCCACCATTGCCATCAACCACCACCACCAATGTCGTTGAACACCACACATACACCTGCTACGTTCATTTTCCCCATCGACACAACCTCCCCCGTCACTGACCACCACTGCCAACATCATTACACCACTAACATCAACCACCGTCAACACCACTAACAATCACAAAAATTCTAGAAAAATGTACAATAATAATCCTAATAATTCAAGAAAAAATTCATAATAAAAATAGCAAAAATATGTAACAATCCCAAAAATTCTTAAAACAGTCCCATAAAGAATTTTTGTGTTTGTAAATTCAAAAAAACTCATAGTTCATCAGTTTTGGGTTCTCGTTTTCTGTAAATCCGATAAGGAAGATGGTAGGTGTAACGTCCCGAAAGTCCAAGGTAAAATTTTCATTTTTAAAACAATATTTATATAACAAATTGTTCTCAAAACTATTCAAGATAAAAATAGTATTTAAACATCAGAGTAAAAATTATCAATGCGGAATAAACTTTGGGGGATGCTGTGCAGTCACGTCGGGCCCTTCCCTTTCGAATCGGAAGTACCTGAAACCATAAACATAAACTATAAGCACAAAGCTTAGTGAGTTCCCCAAAATACCACATACCATACATATCCTTGGGCCTAGCCCTCACATTGGGCCCAACCCACAATAATGGTCCTAGCCCTTCCTAACTAATAGGCTAGCCCAATATACAACACAAGAGTCATAGAGACAGCTAGCATCCTACATAACATATATTGGGCCTAGCCCTTTCTGTTCTATGGGCCCAACCCATCATACAAATAGGCCTATCCCATCATATAATGGGTCTAGCTCGTCATACAATGGGCCTAGCCCAACATGAAAACTAGGTCTGGCAATGGAGCGGGTTTTGACCCTGATCCGATCCAAACCCTTAACAATTATACGGGTTTGGAGCATATTTTTTGATCCATTTACCTGTTAACGATCCGTACCCGCTAACCCTTTTATTAAAAGGGTCGGGTATGGATCATCACTGATTCGCTCCATGTATAACCCGCCCCATATAAATTTTAGAATTATACATTTATATTTTATATTGCCTAATTTTAGTTTAAATTCCAATCGAAAGTACAAAGAGAAAAGGCCAAAGACTAAACTGTTTTTACATAGGACTCGAAGACTCAACTTCTAGACTTTCAGTCTTCTCCCAAGAATCATGATGTCATTTGATTTATATTTCATCATATAATCACCAATTTCATTTATAAATCAATAAATTCATTTATCATTCGGAAGAAATTTTGTAATTGTTATTCTCTATCAATGCAATCGAGGGTCAAAAACCAATCGGAAGTAACTACAAGAATTATTTTAATTCCAATCGAAACTCTTCGAGTACATAATGTGTTTTCTAAATCAACATTTGTTTTATTTAACAAATGTGATTTTATGATTTAAGTAAAATGAGTTTTATTATTCAAAAAACCTACGGGTTACGGGGGCGGGTTTGGATATCTGCTGATTCGGTGGATAAGGGTATGGGTTTGATTATTCTAAACCCTACGGGTTACAGAGTGGGTTTGGATCAGGTTTTGGAATTTGTTAAAATGGTTTGGATTAAGGTCGATTCGCTCCAAACCCGCCCCATTGCCAGGTCTACCAACATACAATGCACGAGTCACAAAGACAACTAGCATATACAGATCCTAGTGGGCCGTTATTGGTGCCTTCGAGCCATGGGTACAACGAGGAGACCCACCTGAATCCGAGATAACCAAAACATATGTGCTGCTGCTACCGGGTTCCTCATACCGAACACAACCAAATTATTCCTAATCAATAATTAAGGTAATTTACCATAATCCAAGGTCCAATTCATATCTTCTCATACCATTGGGTAAAAGGCTTTTTTACCCTTCCTATACCTGGCTCAACAAAGCAAGGCCCAAACCCAAAATGACTCAAGGCCTAAAAATGGCCCAAAAGTCATTCAGGTGCGTATACCCAACGTACCAACCTGGTATGCCTAGCGTGCGACGTTGATGCCCAAAAAGCATTCCAAACCTCTTAATGCCTTAAGACAACATGTATAACTTCCGGATCTAATTCATATGGGACGTCCTAAGTCATAAAGTTCCTGACTTTATGACTTTGCATGGCTTAATGGTGTCTAAACCAAAGCCCTAAGTCTCAAACTTCATCAAAAGACCACCAACTCATGCATGGAAGGACTATACTCATCAAGATCCGATTTTTATGACTTAATGACCTCAACAAAGACCAAATATAAGGCTCAAAGGTTCGGGAGTAACTTCTATTCGTAATAACCACAACCATGGGACCAAAACATGACAAATCATAACCCAAACTAGATCTACATGAGAAATCCATCAAGATCAAAACTTTATACCTCCAAAAGCTAGATCAAAATGAACAAGGCCTGGATCTACAAGCTCCAAGACAACCAACGGTTCTCCAAGGAGTTCTTCTTCTTCCAAATGCACCAAAAATCCACCAAAATTCACTCCAAGACTCAAAATCCTTCCAAATGGGGCTAGGGTTTCGAATTTAGGGTTAGAGGGAATGAAGGATGAAGATAAGAAGGGTTAGCAATGAGTTAAGGGCTTTAAATAGGGATCCAAGACCCTAAATTAGCGTTTGAGTCGGGGTCGCGTATGCCCAACATACATCTGGTACGCCCAACGTACTAGAAGGACCTTCGCGATCACTCCAGCCAAGTACGCTTAGTGTACATTCCTTGTACGCCCAGCGTACTCGGCAAGCCCCTTCCCATTCTAACTTCTGAAGGCCATAACTTCTGCGTCCCAACTCCGTTTTCGGCGATCCTTATATCCACAGAAAGGTATTGAGGAGCTCTACAAGCCTATCTATTTACTTTTAACTTAAAACACATCAAACTAAAATCCTTAATTCATGAAAGGCCCGAA